ACATGGCACTGTTCTAAAGGTTTTTCCCCATCTGGATGAAAAAGATTCCTTGCCTCTGCACAACAAAAAGATTTTAAACCTGTTTCACAAGTTGCAGGTGCTGTGAATTTCTTATAGTCTGATGGGTCTTATGAGTACATGATCTAACATCTGCCACAGTATTTGTTTGGATCAAGAAAAGAGGTGCAACCTGGGAAATGTGCAACAGATGAATATTTTTCCCTCTAGATAGAGCCTTTTTAAGCTTTCTGGAAATACCGTCATAACAGAAAAGAAGAGTGTTTCTGGGTTTTTCAAGATTACTGGATGCTTAATTCTGTTACTTGAATGTAATGTTACTCATAAAGAGGCACACATGAGTGTCAGTCAGAGATACAGTAATTATGAAACTGACACACACACACATAAACACACAAACAATGCATACTCTCTCGCACCAGAGTAGGAGTGCTGCGTTCCCTCGCTGGAGATTCCTGACAATCCCCCGAAGGAGCGAATCCCATCTCTCCTTGTGATGGTTTTCCTAAACGTCTCACTGAACTCTTTGCTCTTCAGCTCTTGATAGATCTGAACATGGACAGACTGTGTTACTTGTTGTGTGGCTGGGTGAGTAAATTCACACATTTGCTCACAATCTGTATCAGAACTCACAGAAACAAACTCCTCAAAGCTGATCTTCTCGTCCTTGTTGGTGTCTCCAGCGATGAAGGCCTCCATGATCTCTCGCACCTTGTACCCCGGCAGGGAGAAACTCGCCTCTCTGAACAGCTCCTGGAGCTCAAAGTCGCTCACATAGCCACTGTTATCAATATCTAAACACAAATAGACACACAAAGGAATGCACACACAGATGTAATTAATTAATCTGCTTCACAGATATTAATCTGAAACGAATGAGCCCAATATTTAAAGTAAATATTGCACAGATGAAAAGCAAAGCAAAGACAAACAAGTCTGGTAGGCTAATTCATAAACAGATCTTTCCTAATAATTTTCTAATATTTTCTCAGGAAAGTAATTTGGTAATGATTATAGGGAGAATAAAGATCATATTTTAGTTTTATTGTGTTGAGTTGAGTTTATTTAAACCCAAATTGTAAACTTTGTAAACTTCTTCTCATATGTTGAAACCATCTGCTTTACAAGTTTTTGCATTTTCAGCACTAACAAAGGTTCAGAAAAATAATGTGTTCTCGCATCCTTAACCATGTTATTGTAGTTAATTAATAAATCCTTCAGACTGAGGTAATGGACTTGGAGACTGGATTTTTTCCATCTGCGCTCTGCTTTCCTGCATTCCCTTTTTAGGCTGCGAATGCTGTCATTTATCCAGGGTTGCTTACTAGCTTTAGACGTAGGCCTAACCTTAGAGGAGCAGTAATATTTAGTGACGACAAGCAGAGATGATTGAAGTGATCGACTAGATTGTTGGTGTTGGAATCAGACAGGTGTTGGCTTTGGCTCTGAAAGAATGTGCAAAACTTTGAAACACTTTGTTCATTAAAGAAGCGAGAACACACGGAGCTTGGTGAGGCGGCATGAGTAACAGGCGAATCGCAGCTAAAAACAATACATCTGTTCAGATATGGTCATGTCACTAATATCACCGAGGAAATGCTGACACCCAGGGTAAACCACTAACCGTCAGTGTAGACCACGGTTATGTGTTTGCCCTTTGACATGTTGTTGAAGTTAAAAGAAGTGGCCATATTTAAAAAGTCAGTTGCATTAACACTGGTGGGGTCATCAACATGAATATTAAAATCACCACAAAGAACAATTCTGTCATAATTTAAAACCAGAGTAGATAAAAATTCAGGAAGTTCTGATAAAAATCCTCCAGACGGTTTTGGGGGTGATAAATTATAACAAATATGACCCTCCAAGTTTAAGAGTGACTTCACTTCAAAGGAGTTAAATTCATCACAGCATACTTGATGACATTTAAAATTTTTCCTATACAGGCTCACTAGCCCACCACCACGACCACTGACCCTCGGTTGACTAAAACAATCTTATTGAGGCGGACACAGTTCAGCTAGCTGCCTATAGTCATTCATTTGCAATCTAGCAATCTAGATTTGCAGACAAGATAAAATCATTTAAGATAAATGTCTTACTTGACAGAGATCTCACATTGAAGAGATCCATTTTAAATGAGTTTGTTTTGGGTGCTGGAGTTGGTGCAGTTGTCCTAATCCTTAAGAGATTAATTATTTCTGTGTGGGATGTGCACATTTTGGTTTACTGGTCTATGCGTGATGATGACAGGAATATGAGTCTTTGGAACAGCGCGGGAGCAGACGGCTTTACATGCCAGCAGGTGGAGACATTTGTTTGTGGCAGTGAGGCAGAGTTATGTTCAGTGACCGGTGGTGTGTCCAGGTGTGCTGCATGAATGATTAGTCATTCCTGTAAGTCATGTGTGGACCGCACCACATGCTGTATGTGAGCAGCTAACATTTCTGAGCCCTTTGTGTTGGGTGAAGTCCGTCTGTCTTAAAAAGAGACTTTCTTTGCCACAAAATATTAAAGTTACCGATGTGGTTGCTGCCACTAGAGGCGCTAAAGATAGTGCTATAACCACACAAACTGCAATATATAGTGCTACAATAAGAGTAGGCATCGATAACATAGTATTTTAACAAAGAATTATGATAAAGATGTATTACATAGTAGATACAACCAACTGCAACCAGTGGTCAGTGGCAGCGACCACTATCTTTAGCGCCCCTAGTGGCAGCGACCACACCAACTGGTGTGGCAGCGACCGCCGTCTTTAGCGCCCCTAGTGGCAGCAACCAGTGTGGCAGCGACCACCGTCTTTAGCGCCCCTAGTGGCAGCGACCACACCGACTGGTGTGGCAGCGACCACTGTCTTTAGCGCCACTATTGGCAGCGACCACACCGACCAGTGTGGCAGCGACCACCGTCTTTAGCGCCACTATTGGCAGCGACCACACCGACCAGTGTGGCAGCGACCACCGTCTTTAGCGCCACTATTGGCAGCGACCACACCGACCAGTGTGGCAGCGACCACCGTCTTTAGCGCCCCTAGTGGCAGCGACCACACCGACTGGTGTGGCAGCGACCACTGTCTTTAGCGCCACTATTGGCAGCGACCACACCGACCAGTGTGGCAGCGACCACCGTCTTTAGCGCCACTATTGGCAGCGACCACACCGACCAGTGTGGCAGCGACCACCGTCTTTAGCGCCACTATTGGCAGCGACCACACGACCAGTGTGGCAGCGACCACCGTCTTTAGCGCCACTATTGGCAGCGACCACACCGACCAGTGTGGCAGCGACCACCGTCTTTAGCGCCACTATTGGCAGCGAACACACCGACCAGTGTGGCAGCGACCACCGTCTTTAGCGCCACTATTGGCAGCGACCACACCGACCAGTGTGGCAGCGACCACCGTCTTTAGCGCCACTATTGGCAGCGAACACACCGACCAGTGTGGCAGCGACCATCGTCTTTAGCGCCACTATTGGCAGCGAACACACCGACCAGGGTGGCAGCGACCACCGTCTTTAGCGCCCTAGTGGCAGCGACCACACCGACCAGTGTGGCAGCGACCACCGTCTTTAGCGCCCCTAGTGGCAGCGACCACAACAACCAGTGTGGCAGCAGTGGTCTGTGTGGCAGCAACCCAAGACTGTGGAGCCTCGTCTCATGCCCTCTCTCGCCAAATTAAAAGATTAAGTCTGGTTCGCGATGTCTTCTTCATACTTTGGTGTTTTTGAATTGAATAACGGCAACCATGCGAATAAAATACTATCTATTCATTTCCAGGCCATTTTATCAACTTAGTTAGCTATTTAACTTTGGAAAGTATTGTTTAAGGTTTCAAAACTTAAAACCTCCAGACCTCAATTTTTTATGTTGCATAGGGTATCTTTCCCTAAATAATGAATTTTGTTCCTCCAAGTGAAATTAAACAAGATCTTATCTAATTCTTTGTATATTTCAGTAGGCATTTGGTCAGTGATTAGATAGTAGAACTCTACTATTCAGTGAAAGATGCCTCATCCACCACATGTTGAACCTTTTTCATTATTTGTTTAATCATAGGGCTGAAGTTTAGGTTATTGCGTATTGAGTTTTTCATTCTTATCACACCCAGGTATGTAACTGGGTTCTTCACAGGGATACCATAAACTTCTGATAGAAATCACATTCCTTAAGTGGTAGCCTAATAAACAGATTTGTTCAAGTTCATTCTTAAGCCTGATACATTAGAAAATTTCTCAACTTTCTCAACTTTTCTCAGCTTTCATCCATTCCTCTCTATTAGACAAAAAAACTATCATCTGCCAGATGAGATAATTTAAATGATCTAAGGTCACTTTAGGTATACTTTGGAACCATAGACTGTATAAAAACTTGAAACTGACCTCTTTTAATACAGCCACAGTTTGTGTGACAAGGAACAGAAAGGAGCCTTCCCTTAGAGACTGTGGTAGCGACCAGTGGTCCGTATGGCAGCCTGGCAGCCAGGCAGCAACCAGTGGTCTGTGTGGCAGCGACCACTATCTTTAGCGCCCCTAGTGGTAGGGACCAGTGGTCTGTGTGGCAGAGACCAGTGGTCTGTGTGGCAGAGACCAGTGGTCTGTGTGGCAGCGACCACTATCTTTAGCGCCCCTAGTGGCAGCAACCAGTGGTCTGTGTGGCAGGGACCAGTGGTCTGTGTGGCAGAGACCAGTGGTCTGTGTGGAAGTGACCAGTGGTCTGTGTGGCAGAGACCAGTATCTTTAGCGCCCCTTGTGGTAGTGACCAGTGGTCTGTGTGGCAGCGATCAGACCACATAATTGGCTACAACCCCTGCTGGAACAGTGGGAATGGGACCAGAGATAAAAATGCACTTTCCACACTGCTTTAAAAAGTTAAAATCTGATTTTGTCAGCTCAGACTGCTGAAGAGCTGTGTCATTTGTTCCCACATGGACTATCACTCTTGTGATGGAGGACGGGAGCGATGGCATTAGGTCCTGGAGTTTTTTTTAAATGTCAGCTGTGGTGGCACCGGGGAAGCAGTGAGTGGTAGCGTTAAAGAAACGGATGTTTCTGGTTATGGAGTCACCAATTATTAGTGTGGTTGGGGAGAAAAGAGGACGAGGAGATGCCGGTTGTGGGGTTCCAGAGCAGGACTGAGCAGAATCTGCTTCAACACTGCGTGCGGACTGAGGATGGAGTGTGTGAGCTGCCGCGTGCTGTGTTGGGAGTAGCAGTAACAGACCTGAGAGAAGGGCTACCCGACGGTGCAGGGTAGATACGGCTTCCGGAGCGTCTGAGCACAGCCTCCTTCAGGATCCTACGTCGGGAAGTGGAGGTTTTTGACCGGGATGACGGCCGCCGATCAGGCCCAGCGGCTGACCGGCAGCCCAGCTGATCACTGTTTGCCGCCAGTCCGGGAGATGTAGCCGGTGGAGGAGATGCAACAGTGTTGGCAGGCACTGTCCGTCGAAACAGATCGTATCAGGGAGACTCGAAGTCGCAGGTGCATCCGCTGGATGGACCGGAGTGTCTTCAGACAGGGCTGCATAGCGGTTGGAGAGGCCGATGTGCGGAGGAGAGGCAGCCCCGTCCGAGCCTCTCTTGCGGCCATGGACCACCACTTCAGCCCAGGTTGACTGATGCTTCGGAGTCGAGCAAGAGGAAAGCCTTGGAAGGGTAGAGGGGTCCCATAGCACAGTGTCCTGGATGTTAGCGGTTGTGCTAAGAGAAACAATCTGTTTGGCTTGTACTGAAGCCACATCCATAAAGCCAGTCAGCAGGGAATTTTTCTCTTTGAGTTCCTCTGAAAGTCGTCGGATGTCTTCCATAAGGTCAGCAATCTTTTTGTTCGCTTTCTTAAGGAGTGTGCAGTCTTCACGGGGCAGAGTTGTCTCGGCTAGCATCACCGGAGCTTTATTGTGGTCAGTAGCATTGATGGTGTTTTTTACGGTCATCTAGCTTAAAATCCATGTCGGACGACTAAAATCCTTAACCCACGTAAAACTTAAGTTAAAAACGTAGGTTAAATAAAAAGTGTATAAAAAATGTAACGAAAAAGTGTGGATTAAAACTGGATAAGAGTCCGGTTTAAGACGGAGCTTCCGACAGGTGGCTACAGACGCCAACGCATGCGCAGAGTACAGATTACATCAGCAATTACGTCAGCAATCTTGTGACTTAAAAATAAAGTATTGTCTACTTGTGATCCCTCATCATATGTCGTTGCCTTAGTATGAACATGAGTTATCAACAAAAGAGTGACTTTGCCTTCAGTGGCTTTCATTTACAAGCCTGAAGAGGTCAAGGTTTCAAGTATTTCACAAGGCAAAAAATAAATAAAAATTTGTATGGACATTCATGGTCCCCAGAGGATGAATTCTAATGACTTTGTTGATCCTCAGACCTGTTAGATTTAGCTTCGGACACCCAGGTTGGGAAGCACTACTCTTGGTTATGCTAGCAATTAATTGGAATTAATTTAATTGTGCCAATTAAACACAGGACATTCAACCAACTTGAACCAGTAATATAAAGTTTTACACATGGTTTTAAACTGGACAAAATCTCTGTCTCACTCACTTAACCTGTTTATGTTTGTACTTTGTTTTTGTATATCATACCGCAACAGGACTGCCTTATTTATATTGCTCTATATTATCAGCAATTTTTTGTAATTTACATTTAGTATGATTAACGTCTCATTATTGCATTTCAAAATGCTTCACACACAAAGTACACATTCACTTAACAACTCAAGCAATAAAATTTCTTGCACAAGAGTACTTTATGGTCGGTTGTAAAACTCTTACTATGGTCAGAATTCCCTTTCGATACAATTGTGGGGTCAGGTTAGGCGTGTGTACATGTAAAACTGACCAATTCTATTAAAAGCCTCTCTGAGCTCTTCCAGGTCCTCTCTGGAAATCTGTGTGACATGGTTCTCCATAGTAACTTCAGCTTTGTGTACCTGAAACACACACACACACACACACACACACACGCACAGAAAAGCACAGTTTCTAATCATACTGGTCTCACAATAGAAGCTGATTTTGCATGATTGAGCAATATGTTGAATTAACAAGGGGAGCAGTGGTGGAAAGTAACTCAAGTAGTGTACTGTACAGTACAGTTTTGAGATGCTTGTACTTTCTGGGTATTTTTATATAATGCTACTTTATACTTCTCCACCACATTCCAGAGGAAAATAATATGGATATTATACTCCACTCAATGGTCAAACAGCTGTAGTTACTAGATTTCACATTTAAAAACATATAATAAACATGTAAAATATAATGCATTCTTAAAGAATAAAACAGTGGATCCCAACCCTTATGGTTTGTGACCTAAAAGTACAAAAAGTTTGTGTGCAATAATTCAGATGTCTAGTAGTTGTGAGCAGTTACACCAAAGAGGCATTTAATTGATTTTAGTCCAAAGAGGTAAAAATTTTCCAATGTTTCACAAAAAAATAAAAGAGATTTATCTATCAAGACTCAGTTTTTTCTTCCTCCCTCTCCCATTTATCATCTCACAATGCTCAGATTGATCTGGTGACCCCTAGGTTGGGAACCACTGGACTAACCCAACTAACTGTATGGTTAAAACTAGCTCCACCTCCACCAGCTGCAACAGAAAAAGGATGCTTACACATTGATGGTTCAGTCTTATCAATCTAATGATGTTATATCTAATATATGATAAAAATACAGGGGAGATGTTACTGCATTGATGACAACTGGATACTAAGCACATGTTACAGCTATAACTTCTGTACTTTTATTATTATAACTAGGATTTTGAATGCAGTACTTTTACCACCACTGCAAGGGAGTGGGTGAACACATCCATTTACTGCAGAGACTTAAAGTTGTTCAACCTCAGAAACATAGCTAACTGAGTCTGACGAGACTGATGGGATAAAAGCAGAAGAACAATTAAAGTGTCAGGTTACTTAATTACAACTTGCTCCCTGAGGTGGATGTGCAGCGAGTTCCTCAAAAGGTTCCCAGTTCCTGAGTAAAGTCCTGTGCTGGAAGCGTGGCTCTATATACTGGTCCAGTGTAGCCTTATGACTTGTCACTGTCAGATAAGCACTGTCATTACTTACACACCTCAGGTTCCTCATAAAACCCTGAAGGTCTGAAGCATTTTACAGTAAAGTATCCCTTTGGTTCTTTGCTTGAGGAGACAACAAAGAAAAGACAACATGCAATAATGACAGAGACGAGTACCTCCATATGAGTCTGTGTTCTCTTTCAGCCCTGTCTTGAGTGACACAGTAAGCCTTTTGGTGCAGATCCCTCTGGACTGGCCACAGGAGTCGAGTCTTCCGGAGCTCTGTGATGCTTCAAACCAGGGCAGAGCAGAAGTTGGATCCCGGAGTGGCTGGAGAGCTGGTTATCTCTCCTAGGAGGAGTCACTCAGGAGAGGCACAGAGTGGACCTTTGGCCTTCCTGGACCCTGGGACAGGCGTAGTCTGACAGTTAACATTTAACACCTCAGCTGTGTCATCATGTTATTGTCCATAGAAGGCAACTGAGTTGCACTCATACATATTACCTACAGTACAGTACTGTACAGTGGCATAAAGTTAAACACTAAAATGGGTGCACAGGGCACACTGTGGGGACAAAAGTTAGGAAGGGAAGTTAATAAAAGTCAAGGAACTAATTTAATCATAAGATTCAATTTCAATTCAATTCAATTTTATTTATATAGCGCCAAATCACAACAACAGTTATCTCACAGCGCTTTTCATAAAAGAGCAGGTCTAGACCGTACTCTATGATGCTATTTACAGAAGCCCAACAGTTCCCACCAAGAGCAAGCACTAGGCGAAAGAGGCAAGGAAAAACTTCCTTACAATGGTGATTAAATATGTATTGCAAATTCACACTTTGCCATATCCACATTTTGGCAGCAGGTGCTGCTAGTTCAACCTACCAGGCAGATTTCTCTTAATGTGAACAAATTTGCTGTTTTATGAGGACTGATCTTGGCTTAAAGCCATACATATTGCCCAACACCTTACCTTATCAATTTAAAGAAATATTTGCTTTCTTTCCAAGTTAGATGAGAAGATTGATACCACTCTCATGTCTGTGCCTGAAGTTACAACCAGGAGATGGTTCAATTAGCTTAGCATAATGACTAGACCTGGCTCCATCCATGGTGCAATGACTTCCTGGAGTCTCTCACATAGCCTCCTGTAAAACTACCACTTGTTGTTTTTATACTTTGCTTACTTTGCTTTGACTAATGAGATTTACATCTGACTTCTGCTTTACAACGGTAAGAGGTGCACTTTATCAACAATGAATGACCTTTAAAGTTTAACACACTATATTTGAACTATATTACAGCAAAAAAATCCACAACTGGTTATACCTAACTTTATGAGAGCAAACTTTATTCACAATTATTTAACAATTATTCTCATCAGTAACGGTAAAATGGACAGTATGTTAAAATAATTAGGATCTTACAATACCCTTTTTAATGGACATATATGAGAGAGGTTAAAATCTTCTACTTACTGACTGTACACAGTAGTAAGTGCTGCCTGTGGGGCTCAGCTCAGGGCAGATATTTCATCAGGGGAATTTCAGTTTAAATGAATTAACAATATTTGCTAAACCTACACTGCTGCATTTTGTAGAAAACTGCACTTGGGATGAAGAAGTGATTGTAGTGAAGTCTTTTGTCACATGTTTTTTAACAGACCACGCTCATATTGTGCATTTCTGTCAAACATCCCTAAAACATGAGGCCTGTCTTTGCATGCACAGCTTGCCTCCCTGCCACACAATGCCCTGTAATCTGAGGCACAGAGGCAACTGCATCACAGCTGCACTCTTCGTAGCAACACTGCCACTTTACTGCTGCTTCACTCTTTATTCCAACACACAGCAATGCTTTACAGTAGCAGATTATGCCTTTTTGTTTTCCTGTCTGTTTGCCCTTTTTTCTTCCTAAATCAGTGGCATTTGACCTGTATGTTTAGCCTAAGACAACTCCAGGCAACATATTTCTGTAGCTATAGTTTATTGAAGTCTGCTTTGCGTAGCAAAGTTCACCTGTGTTTCAGAATAGTCAAACTGTAATGTAAGGAAGTACAGAAGTAAGGAGCTTACATTCAGTTCCAGGCAGCCTGAAGGGCTCAGAGTCCGGAGCAGGGTCAGTCCAAAGTAGAAAATCAGCTTGCTGCAGACTAGTTTTGGGCCTCTTTCTTCATTATACTCCTTTTCAGACCCTTCTTTTCCCTTCTCGCCTTTCTATTTACCCTTTCCCCTCTGTCTTCACCTCCTTCTTTTCCTTTCCTCTGTTTTTACCTGTCAGTCTCTCCTTTCACCTCTACCACTGCTCAAAAAGTCACACGCAGTCCCATAATCAGCCAACACCAGGACACAAGACTGCAAAATGTGTTTCTCTTGGCTCAGACAAACTTAGTAAATTCATTTTTGAAACCTGTTCACTACGAAGTCATACAGAAACTAAATGCTGCCTCTGAATCCACACAGCTCCAGGACTCTGTTCTATTTCCCCTTCTGGTCTCTTCCTCAGACACTTGATCAGCCCAGTTTCACTCTGTGACTCTGAGGTGCTCTCCGGTTACCCTCTCCTCCTAATCGCCGGTCTAAGGTAAGCGCTCCACCTCTAGCCATAAATGTACCAGCCATGGTTCTGGTTGTGAACCCTGAGACAGGATCAGTTGTTGGTGTTAAAGTGTATAAGCCTCCTGCCTTATTCACTGGCAACTTAGAGCACATGCGCATGAAGGCGGACAGAGTTAAAACCACATAAACATACAGCACACACACAAATATACTTTAAAAGCCCAAATGTTCTGAATTTATAAACAGACTTTTAATGATGTATGGCAGATGGTTATTATTGAGCTTAGAAATATTGTGATACAAAAAACATTACAAGACAAATATGTCTGTGACTACTGCTACTAAAATATACTGATATCAGCATTATTATTGGAGTTAAAGGCCTTTATTTTAAAAGGATCATCATTCTCATGTTGCACAGGTTGGTTTTCAGTTTAGCCTTAACAATTTCTAATAACAAAAAAAGAAAAAAAGAAAGGAAACCCAGATGTTCACGAGGAAGATGTCTTAAAGAAACAAGACCGACACTTTAAAGAGTTCTCCCCTTCTGCACACCCCTTCTGAATCCATGTTACTCTTTGATTCAAATTCACATTTAATTTTTTGATCCAAAAGAGGTAATGTATTTGGTCAGAGTTGCATATAGGGGTGGACAGTACAAAACAGTATCAGAACAAAAATATGAACAGTAAAAGAGTAAAGACATTTTATAAAAAGAACAGTAATAGACAAAGATAGGCACAGCACCAAGACACCATTTACAAACAGTGTTACAGTGTCAGTAGCAGTTTGGATGTTAAACACCATGACAGCAGCAGGAACAAAGTATTGTTTTGATTTAAGATAACTTCTCCCTACAACTCAGAAAGGAAAAACTTTCTAAGAAAACAGAAGAATTTGTACTAAAAAGACTGTACTAACATCCCTGTGTTTTTTAAACCCAAGAACACACTAAGACAGATGCTGGTACACCCCAAAGACCGCACACCCAAACACAAGAAAGCAATCTAGTGTATTTGGTCCAATGCAGTGAGGAATGCACAGACCTGTATATTGGGGAGACTAAACAACCACTACACAAACGCATGGCTCAACACAGAAGGGCCAACTCCTCAGGTCAAGACTCTGCAGTCTACTTACATTGAAGGACAGAGGACACTCGTTTGAGGACCACCAGGTGCACATTTTAGACAGAGAAGATGGATGGTTTGAAAGAGGTGTCAAGGAAGCCATCTGCACCAGGGTGAGAAGCCGTCATTGAACAGGGGAGGGGGTCTACGCCACCACTTATCCCCCACTTACAATGCTGTCCTTTCATCACTTCCCAGGAAACTCAACAAACGTAACCTATTGGCCTCAGTGAAGATACCAACGATGGTCGTTCAGTCTTGGCCACAGGTAGTCTTAACGACTGTAACGACTGTCGTCACAGCAACAAGGAACACTAACGAACCAGCGGTATCGATGACCCGGATAACGACCCCACTGAGGTTAAATAGCTGAGTTTCCCTGCCAGTCAGTCAGAACTGAAGAAGTCCTTTGGATGAGGGACGAAACGTCTTCCAGTATCTTCAACCAAGTCCAGTTGCCCTTGATTTTAACCTTCGTTGGATAACTATGACCTGGATGACTGAGAATCTTCATAGACATACTAAAAAGACTGTAACTTTGGAAGTTACCCACTTTAATTCTGTCCCCATTTCTAACAGTGCAGCTACCCTCCAATGGGATCTCTTCACAGCTTGTATGGAGAGGTGGGTGACTGCAAGTACGTGAGTATTGCATTCAGACAGACTTGAAAAAACCTAGACCTATCCATTAAGTTAAAAGACCAACTTTTTTTGCATCACACACTCTTTCGTCTTTACTTATTTGTAATGTAGTAACAGCTGGGAGTGATCCCTACACCCACATGTATGGTTGAGCCTTTGATGCTTTAATCAGCTGTAATGTGAAATCATGACCACTCAGAGGCAGTGCTGACTCAAGCTGATGGAGTACAGAGGAGCTTTTGTCTGGGTAGTGAAGGTTGTCCTACTGCTGTGTTTGTGCACCACAACACGTGTAGCAAACAGGATATATTGCTATTATGTATTAACTGTCATTTCTGATAACTTGACCTTAAGTCAGTAATAGACATAATTAGTTTCTCATTCTTACAAGTTATTCTTCTGGTGCAAATGTAGTAATAGTACAACAACAAACAAACCATAAATAATAGGCTATTTTTGCTTTTGGCAGGCTAGTTTAGTATATTGTGATCCAAATAGTTTTAGGTGTACTACATTTAGTTGTAATAGAGTATTTCTACACTGTGGTATTGCTACTGTACTTCTTTCACTAGTTTTCTACAGGCCAATAAGTGTTGTTTATTTTTTGTGATTAATTTTCCCACCCCAAATGGAAGTAGAAAGAGAAAACGCAGGGGGGCGTGTCAACTGTCACTGGTCACATGACCCGGAAAATGTGGGGCTTAATTCCTGTGTTGAACTGCTCTCAGCTGCTGAAGCTTTACCCTTGGCAGTGCACACCCTCCATCTGCCCCATCACGACCCAGGCACCCCCGGCGGACTCTCCTCATCGTACCATGTCAGGTAAGACACACCGGGGCTCCGCCGACACTACACGCTGACACCGGAACACGGCCGCTCCGGACCGGACCAGGGCAGCGCGAACTGCCCTCTTCTCCTTAATATCGCGATTTGATTACACGCTGCAGAAAACACCGCTGCGACAATCACTGCTGTTCGCATAGGGGCAGAGCTGAGGTAATGAGTTTAAATCGTTAGTGCATTTATTGCTGTGTCCATTTTTAAAGTTGATGTGTTCGATTTGATAAGCTGCTGTAGCGGTTTGGACCATAGTAAAGCTGTCGGTACAAAAAGAAACATCCGGTTAATTTAGATGACTGCAAATTTAAACTTGCATAAATTTTATATCTGGGTTTTTGATTAACAATTAA